CCCGTTTTTTGTCGCAAATAGTGGTACCAACAACGTTGGTGTTTTACTGAATAATGGTGCTGGCGCATTTGGTGCTGAACAGATCTATGGAACTCTCGCTAACTCGGCGCCGTCGTCGGTGGTAGCAGCCGACGTGGATGGTGACGGAGACTTCGATATTGGTGTTGCGAATAGTGGTACAAACAACGTTGGTGTTTTACTGAATCCTGGTAATGGCGTATTTCCTGCTCTTCAGACAGTCTATGAAACTCTCGCTGGCTCAGCACCGTCGTCTGTAAAAGCAGCCGACGTGAATGGTGACGGCAAAATTGATATGGTTGTCGCAGATAAAAATACAAACAACTTTGGTGTTGTACTGGGCAACGGTGATGGGACATTTGCTGCTGCTCAAGTGACCTATGCAACGGGCACTGGCTCAGCACCGGTGTCTCTGGTAGCAGCCGACCTAAATCTCGATGGTAGCAACGATGTTGCTGTCGCAAATAGCGGTACAAACACAGTTGGTGTTTTCAGAGCTGTTTGCCAATAATATACGGGCCCGTTTTTTGTCAGGAATGTCTGACAAGATGAAACTATGACAATGACATTAACATAACATTTTATTCTATGCAGAGGCATTTTAGTGGCACAAAATATTTTTTATTTTCATTTATTCTTTTTCTTCTTTACTAACCGAATAAGAAAAATATTTATTATAATCCAGGACTATTTACTAATAAATTCATAATCAATATATCTGAGAAAAATTGTAATCGCTACCTTGCCCACTTGGAGTCATTTTCACATGATAGTGACCATCAATAATAATCGAGCCATCATCACCAGGTTCGGCTTTGCTGAAGCGTTTCATGAGGTGGCATTTTACCTTCTATGGAAAAAATTTCACGCTGAAGTTAAAGTGGCAATAATTTGATTACTGGACTTGATAACACTTCATATTTCCTTGTTTGTTTTGTAATTTCTCTTTTTGCGTGTTGGTAATATGTTTAGAGAATCTTATCCTTGCTAGACTTTTGTGATATAGTTTATTGATGATATGTTTTTTAAGTATTTTTGATCACGGTCTAATTCGTGATGGCTTAGCAATTCAGTTCCACTACGAGGAGTTCGATTTTCGTCTTATTCGAAGCAGAGAGTGGACAAATAGTTTTTACACTGTATAAACTGTCTAAAGTTGTTCTTTTCATTAGTTTTCCTTTGCGTTTAAATAGAAGGCTGTTTTTTGAAATGTTAGTTTTGTTTGTTGACACTTCACTGTTGTTCCTTCAGTTGTTGTGCTGGAAATCATTTTGAAACTGTGAGGTAAATAGTGACCGTGGCTAGTTTACCAGAATATTTTTCCCAGTAGCAGAAGCCTCATTAATGTTTTTGTCTACTGCAATCAGATCGCTTTTGGCGAACTTGTTTCGAAGAGGAAAATTTGTAACTCATGTTGCTATGATTCATAATGGTTGATGATTAGAAAATTAAATTGTATCTTCTCAATTAATTGTGCGTAAATGATGAATGAAAAATTTTTAAAATTATATTTTATGTAAGGTTAGTTTTTGTTCTTGGAAAATATTTCCATGATCATTTGAATGGAAGTCTATAATTTTGTGTTCTTTTTACATCTGATATACAGAAGTATATTGACAAATATCTTGCTACTTTCAGAACTGTATGATGTGTGAAATCGCTTGACCAGTTGCCGCTCTTCATATGATTCAATTATGAACTACCAATGACGAATATGTTTTAGTGTTAAGGGACATGTTGCGCTTTTTTATTAAGTGGAAACTGAAATAATGTATCGATCATTTCAATTTTCAATCGATGACATTTTAAGAAAATATTCTCAAGTGATGCACTTTAGTACGTTTGTCTCCTGTGTGCTAGAGAAAACAATGTTTGATTACAAACTACTCAATTCCAAGTGATCTAGAAGACAATCTATGGTGTTGCCACACCAGGTATTTGACAGTCTTGATAAGAATCCGACATAAATTCTCTCTCTTTATATCTCTTCCCCTTATAGAGGGTGCGGATGAGTGTGAGTGGGTAGGAGTCCATTTTTGTGCGAAGAACATTCTCACTCACACTCACATCCACACCCTTAGATGCAAGCATTTCATAAAATGTTAGTATCGAGCAAAATAAAAAGAATGTGAGTGTGAGCTATTCTTTCTTCGATTCACGCACCAGACCTAGGAGATACATGTAATGGTTCACTATACTTTTATGAAGATATTTCTCTCACGACTTTTTTTTTGATTATAATAATGTCTAATGTGAAAGCATATATATTTGAAAAGTCAATTTAATTAATCGGATCATTGTTTAAGTTGTTGGAAAAATTGTTCAATATGCAATTTCGTATTCGACAAATCATCATGTCCGAAAGGTAGACATTTTGCGTAGACAACTAATGCTTGTTGACAATAGTCAAGTGCTAATATGAGTTTATGAAGACTTTCATAAATGTTGTCTATAGTTGATAAGCTATTGCTCATGTCTTCATGACATAGTGGTAAAATTTTGAGACGCATTAATAAACAATTCTGTTCATAGATAAAAGAAAGCTCATGTTTTATTCTTGTTTCTTGTATGTTTATTAAAGACTTAAGAAGAGCAACAATGGAAAGATCTTTTTCTATTAGATTGGCTTCTAAAATCCATTACCATTTTTCAAAATATTTCATAGGGAGATTGAGTTAAGATTTTCGATCAAAATTCGTAAGGATCCAATCTAGACAATTGACTATTTCATTATGATTACTAGGATAATATTTTTCAAATATAGCTAATGCTTGTTGATAAAACTCGAAAGGTTCATCATATTTTCTTTGCTGATATAGAGCACTACCAATACACTTGAGATATTTAGCAATTTTGAATTGATTATGAGAAAAATTCATTTTAAGAATTGACAATGCTTATTATTCAACCTTCGATAACTTTATCATGTTTTCTTTGTCAATGCATCATCTCTGCAATATTGCTAATAACGGTAGTGGTGTCAACATCATCATATAGATTAAGTTTCTCGCGAATAGTGTTGTATGAATGTGAGTGTGTGGAAGACAATATTCACACCTGTACCCTACTCCACTCACACCCACATCCTCTTTTTTCGATGCAGCATTAAATTTTTATCGAACTTTACATGGACAACAAGTCAATTTCAGCTCGTTGTCAGTTCTTGCCATTTACCTGCGTGTGTGTGCTGTTGCTTTTCTCTTTATTGTCTCAAGATGATATTAAAAACGAGAATATACGTCGCTTTTCATATAGGTATTACATGCAAAAATGGATAAAAATTTAACGACTCAACGAAAGAAAAAGATGTTACATTTTTGACCATAAGAACGCGTTAAAAATTTGGTTTTAACGAAACTTCGCGATTTATGTCTCATTGATCTGCTTCTAACAGGCAAAATCGCATGAACCTTCATCAAAAACAACTTTCTAACGCATCTCCACAGTCAAAAATGTAACAAATTTTCTGCGCTAAATAGTTGAAGTTTTACACAGCAGTTTCGCTGCAGAAAGCGGGTGTGGATAAATAGAGTAACAAGGTCCTCAACGATAGCCGTACATAGTTAGGGATTATATATCAATAGCAGCTCGTTGTAACGCATTAACTAGATTCTTCTGTCATCTTCGAAGCACTAAATAAAGGATAGGTGAACGAACATGTCTCAATATGCATAGAATGAAACAATCTTTCTACGATTAGAAATAGGTAGCCATATCACGTTTCACATTTTATTTCTATAGAAATTTCGCTAACAGCTTTCTAAATATTTGAATGCATCTAACAATGAATGAGCTATTGATTGATAATATGGCTTTCAAAAATATAGTCATGTATGATGATCAACGGACGCTTCTGAATTTTCTCAATGACTTTCGGTACTAAACTCACGTGCACAGCAGACAAGAACGAAAAGGTCAGAACCATATCACAATTATCACGCTCCTGGCATTGCTTTTTGCACCTTGTATAATGACCTGTATGTGCATTCTGAACATTCGTCACTGTAAGTCCCCGGTACACTGTCTGAAAGGCTAAGATCTGCGTAATAAGTAAGCTTTTGTCAAGGTTGCTCGAAATAAATGTGTACTCAAAACGCGCGATATATGTTCATTTGGACCAGGCACTTGGTCCAGTCAATGTTATCAGTATGGTCGATGTGCATGAGAAAAGCCAACTGCCATTTGCTATTATCGACCCATTTTGCAAATTTTCTCAAATAGTGATTCTTACCATCAAAAACTTTTTCTACAGGATATTATGTCCGAAAAATTGATTTCAATGTAATTCATCGATTGATTGTGATTTTTTACAATTCAATCGAAATGTTACACTTAGATAAAATTGTCATAGAAAAACATTAATTTCAGTAACAGAAGTCCGATTATATCAAGCAACAGAGAACGACGAAATGTGAAAATTTACAGAAACACCATTGTTCCCTAGTGGGACTGTTGGATACCTCAATGTAAGAAAAATATCATTCTCAAACGCAGTTATCATGTTTTTCTTCTTCATACATTTATAGATGTTGACGACAACAGAAAACATACATATTATTTGAGTTTGGTAGCGTATAGCTTGTTCATTTAGAACTTGTGTACGTTATCTTTGATAGTTGTAGTTAATTTGCTGAATTTTAATGAAAACTCGAATGTTTAGTGTTTCTCTATGTTTAGATAAAGTATTTATTACTTCAGATACGGCTGACGAATTACGGACTTATCATCGACAAAAATAAATTACTCAAATATACGTATGATACCCTTTATGAATTTTCGAAACAATATACTGCATTTTTTCTCTCAATGAGCGCTTTATGTCCCTGACACTTGTTTTTGCATATGCTGTTTTATATCAAGTGTGGAAATTTCTCAAAGACAAACGAAATCTCAGATACTATTGAGATCTGAAAAAAGAACGAATTTTAGTCCTCACCACGCATAAACGAACTGGAAATCTCTCTGAAACTGAAGAGACACAAGAAGTAAAAGATATTATAACTTAGAAGCACTAAGACAAATTGAGATAGCTATAGCTTCTTGTGAACACCTCTCGCATCCATGTTAGATAAACAATGTCACACGTTTTGTGTGACAGCGTTTCGAAAGATGTCTAGCAAGGTCAAAACCATGGTAATGCTAGCGTTCCATTATACTAACAACTCGAATAGCAAGCGTGTTTGGCTTTTTATTGAAATTAAAAAATACTATAAGTGATCATGCACTTTTCTCTCTCTCTCTCTCTCTCTCTCCACATACAATTATAGTCGATATATACGACAAGCATTATCATGAAATACACGTTCAATTTCTTGTTTGCTTAATCCTACTTCTTTGGCCACTTGCAAATTAGCTTCAACAAGTTGTCCGAATGTTGCATGAAGTTTATCTACTGGAAAATTTGATGCAAAGAGACATCGATCGGCGCCAAATACATTCAATGCGTATTCCAAAAAGGGTCGGAGAGATTCGACTGTCCAATTATGTTGAAACATGACAAGACCACTTAGTTTACATGATATATTAGGCTGTTGAGCCATAATAGACATGCCTGCTTTCCATTGATCTATTGAGACCATATTATCATAGGGCATACCTAGATTCAAACGAAATCAAATAGGTCATAACAATGATCTGAAATTTTTCCTTTTTAGTAGAGATTTTCAGTTTATAAGAAAGATTCGCCACAAGGCGGTCAAGTTGGGAATAGAACCAAGAAATGAAAGAGATAGGTAAAGATGGGTGCATAACAAGGACTCTGTCATTGTTGCCGCTTCTTTTCTAATACTGATATTGTTCTAACAAAATGAAGAATTACTTTAATATCAGTTTGATATCAATCTTATTGCAACTAAAATGATATATCACAAGAATATACCTCTATGATAGAGAAAAAGATTTCACGAAGTTGAACGGGAACGATGAGGTATACGTTACGGAGCGAAGCATGTAGTGTCCCAGTTTTCATATAAAAATCTTCCCCTGTAGCTACTCTGATACATTTTCTTTCAAAATCATGACTTACCACAATGATCAAGAATGATAGTTGTGTCCAAGTTTTCTCGTGCCAATTGAGCAGCATCATTCATCTGATGATGATAGCATGTTAAATCGAACGACAATCCATACTGATGCAATAAACCAAAACCTTGTTTCCATTTATTGTCAGTCAAATAATCGGGTCGATCACATAATGTGTATTTACTGTCCTTACTATCTAACCAATTGAGCATGTGCCGAATACCTCGAACTTTATTAAATCGATTCGTTAACGTCGTAAGCCTTTCACGTACTTGGTCATCTGCCAAATTAGCATGTGCTACTAGCACATTGGGTAATTGATTTTTATTTGTCTTGGCTTGTTCATACAGCCATTCAATATCACCCCATGGATCTGCATGTATATCATAGGCTGCTTCTACATGCACTGATTTGACGACATTATATGAGCCGGTATCCTTGATATAATCTTGAATAGAATAGGTTGATTTGAGTGGTGTGCGATCACCTGCTATAAAATCATTGGGTGTGTCTGGGCGAAAAAGTATATAATGATGATTTGGATTGCTTAAGTCCCACAAATGATGATGAGCATCGACAATGGCCAAAGTAGTGGCCGAGATATCTTTGTTCGACATCTAGAAGATAAAATAAAATTTACTCTCTTTGATCGAGAACACCGTTTGAGACTGGTTGAAAAGATACAAATCTATACTATTCTTTTTTATTCTTTTTCCCTCAATAATTGTGTTGGTTCGTTGAAAATATAAACTCATATATGAACTGTCAAGTAAGTTCTGTCGTCAGTCAAGTGGTTCGATGCCTCGTTGTTCTCCCATCGACTATTTGCAAGGTTGAATTCAAGTATCTGTCAGTTCTTTTTTTTTCCTAAGGTAGTCATCGGAAATTTGTCTCTTTGCGTCTGTAATTAAACTGCCTTAACAGTGGATTAAATTTCCACTAGGGCTAATACCGACTGAATTTATCATCGCAACAGGAATATTCTTTTCGTCATCGGCTTACTAGCAACTGATTTTTTTCTTTCTATATTTATGAGAGCTCCAATTTTTATATACCTTGTGTGAATAGAATTGCGTTGTTCACTTGTATATTTCTAAACTTGTTTTGATTAAGCGAGAAATATGTGCTCCTCTCCATCTCGTCTTCATGCATGAGTGATAATTATGTATTTTATTTTTCTTATATCAGAAACGCATTACAGATAAATGAGACTAGATAAAAACAAGGACACTGTACTACTGTCAATTTAGTTTCTATCATTCGTTATTATAGCTGCTCGTGTCAATATTGCATGTGCGCGTTCACATAGTAGACTGTGTGACGAACGACAACGCATCATTATAGCTTATGTTCTCTCCACTTTTTTTTGGGGATGACGAGTCATTGTCCGAAAAATAAGCAAGCAAAAATTCGGAACTCTGACAGTACCATAAACGGAGTTCTTCAATCGTAGGTCTCGCAGAAACAATCTATGAAAGCAAAGTCTGTTAGCTAGTCCATTAAATAGTTTATTATACTTTGGTGTTTCTGTGTAAATCAAGATTAATAGATTCATTAATATGAAACTAAAAACAAGTATAACACAAATAACGTTTGAAAAGCATTCATGGGATTAATACCTCTCAATTGAAAAATCCCTGGTCATGTAATGCTAGCATTGGAAATTGCTATTGTTATGGTGTTCTTTTTACATGGATTATCGACGACGTTCTTTCACTGCTCAGTCACAACAATACCATATTTGCTAAACATCAGAATACAGTTCCAACTGTTCTTGTTTATCCCGCCAATAGAGCTACAATTTGATAAGATTATGAATGAATGAATTCAATAAGATAAAGCAAGTTTTACTAATTAATTCTTGATTTACATTTTCATACATTTCTCATACAAGTATTAAAAGAATGTCACAAAAATATATTTAGAAATTACGCATCGTATGCTGAGAATAAATATCATATTCTTTATTTTGATATAAATAAAATACAATGCATGTAGAAAAAATAAACACGGGATAAAAACTATTGAAAAATCATTTATAAAATATGAGATAGTCGTTACTTGAACTTAGAAGTTATTTTCTTTCTTAAGTTTAAGTATGAGATTATAACTGATATACGTGGTAAAACATAATGATATCTTACGATTAAGCAAGTTAAATGCAGATTCTTAGAAGAGTGATAAATAATAAGTACGTCCATGAACTATTAGGATATTCTATCGAAATGGTTCGGCTTGCATCAGAACAAAGGAATTACCATAAGATTTCTGTTAAATACTGTATAGCTTACATAGATATCAACTCTGAAATACCTTTAGTATCCATAGTGAACGTTCAGAAAATAAAAAATTGAGCAATTTAATGACAGTATAGTTTAATTATTCTTGACTTCATCTTCGAATGATATACGTTATAACTGAAATCAACATACTCATGAACAAATTTGTTAAGCTCTCACATATATTTTGTCTGTCTTATTGTTTGTCTCAAAATTTACCGCTTTAATAAATTATTTTCGTAATGACAATACAATCGTTTTTATTCAAATTGAAATACTGTTCTCTGATCATCTGTATATTTTTTTCAAATATGATCTAATTTTCTGCATACATACAACACTATTTTTATCGATAACAAAAACAATGATAAAGAATAGTAGCCATCTGTTATACAACCATATAGTTGTAAATAATCTGGAAATAATGCTGGCTTATAAAGATCTTTCAATGCAAATGAATAACGAATTTTTGCTGATGACAATAAAAATCATTGCTTTCGTTGTATATCACCTGCAATACTAAAATTTCCTAATGGTCTAATGGTTGACGATGATCTAACATCATAACGACTGTAGAATTTCAATGTTGCTTTTTGCATTGATTGAGAAGTGATGACATTTACCGAATGAGTAACAACGGTTTATGAAGTCATTGATTAAATTTTATTTTGTATTTTGCAATTCAACTGAACGTTGTCAATACGAAAATAGCCATTAGGATCCTAAAAAGCAGCTGCCTGTATATAAATATAGATAAAACCATGGGAAAACAAAGAAAACTTAGAATCAGCTGGTTATTTATTCTTAATCACATATATTAAAAATAAAAACAGCTTACAATATGTATGAATAAATCGTAGTATAGGTAGTTGTTCTATTGTCAGTTATTAAATATTTTTTTTTGATAATAAATATGAACTGACCTGTTTTCGTGTAATCAAAAACGTCAACTAAACGCATATAATCAGTTGAAGCAATTTTTGATTTGATCAAGTAACGTTTTGCTGTATTATTAGACTTATTTGAAAATTACGTAGATTGCTTGAATTTTATTGAACGAGAAACATAAGACATTCCTACCTTTTAGCATGATTATTTATCAAAAGCTTTCAGTTTTAATGAAAAACGTTCAATAAGGGCTCGGATAAGAAGCTTTATTTATGTATTTAAATGAACCATGTCAGATGTTAAATGAAAAATCATTCTCTTTCTCTACAAATTAAGTAAGACTTGATTCAGTAGTATGATCAACTGCTCTTTTCAAAAACGAAACTGTAGTATGTTTATATTAGTCATTAAACAAAAATCTACAGTATGAACTATGGACATCAACTTCCTTATTATAATCGTAGTTAAACGCTCACGAAAAAACCAGTTTTGAGGTAATAGACAAATTTGATCCATGAGAAACGGAACTTAAATTAAGATATGCCTATTGCTTTTCTTTGCTTAAGCTAGTAATCGATCTTTATTTAGCTTTTTCAATGTTATAACAATCAAATATTCATCACACTAATATTTTTCTGATCGAAACGACAAAGTCTAAACAGTCTAAGCCATATGAAATTATTTTCAGATGAATCAGATCAAAAAATCACTTGGACTACATTAAAAATGTTGAAATAAGTAACTTACCTGATTAAGCTGCTGCTACTGTAGGATAATTTTTACAGAAAATAATATTTGTAGCAATAAGAAAAGGTTTTAGTACAACATTTAGATCATTTATTTCATATCAGTCATCACTAGTAAATTTGAATTTGTTCGAACCAAGTTTTATTTGTTGTTCTGCACTATATGTAGAATTTGAAAGGTCAGTTGTTGATATTGTTGAAACGGTCAATCACTATAAAGATTGTGTTCCATCTAATTTAAAAATCTGTAATAAACTCGAGTTGGATGGCTATTTCATTGGGTTTTGCTTGATTTTTGATATAATCATTAATAGATGGTGTACAACGAATATTATTAACACAGATTCGCATTAGTTTAACTAGTCAATGAACGATGAGTCGAGTGTTCTCTAGTTGAATGAATTGTTCGTCGTCGTTTTGTTTACCTTCGCCGTCTTCAACTGCATTTTCAATATCAAAATTAGTTTTATCCGTGGTGAGATACCACCACAATCAGATTTTCCATCACTATCGGTTGAGTTTTCATTTTCCGAATTATCTTCATCATCTTCCAGTTCTTCTAATACACCGATTCCATGTGTTTATCCCTCGTCCGCTCTTATTTTTTAGTATTTCTAGCTGAATAAATCGATGATGTTCTACAAAACTAGTTACGTGGCATTTGATGCAAGAATAATAACATAAACGTCTCATACTTGTGAGAGAATCATTTCTTATTTTCTGTTTTCAACTTTCAAGATCGTTGAGAATAACAAAGTTAATTAACTGATTCTATAATTTATCATTGACTGGACACAACTCAATCATCTAAAGAAAATTATATCTGCTGTCAGGTATAATAAATATTGTGTTTATGGCATCGTTCTCTGCATAGAGATGATCGACTCAAAAAGAAAACAGTTTTTGATGCTGGTAGCATCGCACTTACTCAGAAGCAATGGAGTATCACGACACATTCTTTTTGCTGCAGTGTCTGCTTTTCATGAGGATTTCACTGGATCAACATTAATGACGACGTGACTTTTCTTCTCATTTATATGTATTTTTCTGTTTAGTGCAGGATCACTGCCTTGATTTTATCGTCACCTTAGTTACTCGTAATGTCGAAAGCAATGTAAGCTATATGATTTCGGTCATGCAGCATTGACGTCATGTTTTACATTTTAATCCTGTTAAAAATTTTCTGAGAGCTTTTTTCTTTATGTAATGCCGACTGAAGTAATAAATACAGACCTTTTTGTATGCAAACTTTTGCAGGGAATAAGTCACTGTAACTAGAAATTTCCTCTGAATTTGCCCAGCAAGGACAAAATCCCATAGAATTCTCACTTTATTCATCTGAAATCTGCTTTCAGGTTTCTACAACCATGAAATTTGTGCCATGTCTCCGTCGACGAAAAGTTCGATGCCTGTCAAATAACTGCTGTCGTCCGATGCAAGAAAAACTACAGCTTTGGCAACTTCATCAGGCATGCCCATGCGCTTCGTTACCGTAGCATCTATCACATCGGCAATGCTTCCGAAGCGTTTTGCTCCAGATGTGTCTATTGCTCCTGGACTCGCAACGTTCACCCGAATTTTACGCTCCTTTAAATCGACTGTTCAACAGCGAGCAAAAGAGCGAACGGCCACCTTTGTAGCACTGTAGACGCTCAAACCTGGAGATCCTTTGACGGCACAAATAGATGCATTCAGGATGATCGA